AGATAGACAAATGGCCAATAAACACATGAAACAATGGTCAGTCTCATTGGTCATTGGAGAAACACAAATCAAAACCACTGAGATACCACTTCACAACCACTAGGATGGCTTTAATCAAAAAGATAGACAATAGGGCTGTCCAGTTAGCTGAGTTGGTTAGAGTATGGTGCTAACAACACCAAGGTGCAGGGTTCAGTCCCTACACCACCCACCTGAAAAAAGAAAGAAAAAGAAAAGAAAAACCCAGAGGAAAAAAACCCCAAAATACAGGCAATAGTAAGTGTTGGCAAAAATGTGGAAATTCTGCAACCTTCACACATTGATGGTAGAAATGTAAAATGGTACAACCTGTTTGGAAAACAGTTTGGCAGTTCCTCAAAATACTGAAGCATAGAATTACCAAATGATCCAGAAATTCTACTCCTGGGCATGTATACCCAACCAAGACAAATGAAAAACTTATACATTGATGTTCATTGTAGCATTATTTATAATACCAAAAAAGTGTGAAGACTCAAAATGTTCATCACCTGGTAAATGGATCAACAAAAGGTGGCATATTGATACCAGGAAATATTATTTAGCGATAAATAGGAATTATGTACAATACATGCTACAACACGGAAGAACCTTGAAAACATGCTAAGTGAAAGAGGCCAGTAACAAAAGATCACATGTGGAATGATTAAATTTATATGAAATGTCCCGTATCGGCAAATCTATAAAAGTGGAAAGTAGATTAGTGGTTACCAGGGGTTGTAGGCAGGAAGGAATGGGGAATAACTGCCAATGGGTACAGGGTTTCTTTCAGGGGTAATGAAAATGTCCTGGAATTAGGTAGTGATAACAATTGCACAATTCTGAATATAATTTAAAAAGTTGTTTTGTACATTTTAAGTGGGTAAATTTTATACTATGTGAATTATACATGTCAATTAAGCTATTTCTAAAGTAAAAATTTACAAAAATATTCTTTAAAAATCCCTACAGTCTCTACCGCAGAGTGATTGGGAATTTCTCATCCTGGAAACCCATGCTCAAGCGCAGTAGATAAATGAAGGAATTGTGTCAGCCTGACCTAGTGAAGCCAAGTTTCTATAGCTCTGCCACATCACATCTACGTACAGTTTTCTCTGAGATGAGGTCGGAAATGCTGACTCCTCCTTAGTGAAGTCCATGGCTGTATCCTCAAAGGTTACTGAGTTCTAAAATGCCAATACACACTGTGTAAACCAGAGATCCACCCCACCACTGTTCCTAAGAAGAGCGTTACAAACAATAGCACTGGAGATGAAATACCTGTTTTATGCTAACATCAGACAGAATTCTAAATTAATCCAGGACTCAGAATCCAATTAATCCTTTTAATCTCGAGCTCAGTCCTCAGATTCCTCTCTTCTCTATTCATGCTCACTCCCTGAGTGATCTTATTCGCTCTCAAGGACTTAAAGCACCTATAAAACACCATGAAATGTTCTCTCTCCACTGAGAGCCTGAGAGCTTTTACAGGCTTGCTTTCCTCTAACTTCAGGGTCCAACATGGACCTGAGCATATCGCAAGCATGAGAGAAAGACTTTCCAAGTGAATAAATGATTTCCTTCAGAGTGACCAGACATTACTTGAGGCTAGAACAGCTTTGAATCCTTCTTTTACTTTTTCTAACAGCACTGAACAGGAGGGACACAGTTTTTTTCTTGGCATGCAGTTTTCTGAGTTGGTTATTTGATATTTCGAACCTTGGTTATGGGACAAGATGACAATATTTACATGAATGCAAAGTTATTTTCCAGCCAGCCTGAAGCTACAAACTTGTGGACCTTGAGAAACCAAGGAAGATGTCAATAAAGCTATGCTGATTCCACCTCTCCAGCAGGACCCTAAAAATAACAGCAAGGACAAGAGCAGAAACCAGGTGGAGTCTTGGGGGGGCTTTGCACCTGAGACCTTGCACAAAGCCCTCATGGCTCATGTCCCCTTCCTCCTGCATTTCATTTCCCATGTTCCATTCTCTCAGCCCCCTTTTCAAAAACCCCTCAGTAAATCTGAGTCTTTGAGATGGCCTTTGTAGGGACACTGTGAATACCCGAGCCGGGCACACCCTAACAATATGGCACCCTTCCGGGTTCTTCTCCACAGTGAACAAGCCTGCTGGCGCCAAACCTCAACCAGTCACAGGTCAAGGCTCCCCTCCCGCCCAGCCCCGTCCAATCAGCTACCGCCCCGTCCACCCCCTATCCAAACCCGTATAAATATGCGCGCAGTCCTTGAATAAAGCGGAACTTCTCTGGTGAACTGTCAGCCCGGGTCTGGCGTGCCTCCTTAATCCGTGCCGCCTTTCAGCCTTAGTCTGGTCACTCTCCTTCAGGTTTACAGGGAGATAGGTTAGCCTCACATCTCTCCTCAGGTCACTGGTATTCCTGAATAAAAGCTGACTTCTGTTTTCACCAACATTTGATTTTAGACTGGTTTGCTTTTGAAAGAGGCAGGCAGCTGGACCTGTGTCCTGTGAGTCCTGTAACAAATTTTGGTAAGCCTAATGAGGAGTTAAATGCCCTTGGGGTGTCAAAACTTGGGGAGCCTCAGTCAGGAGCTGAGTGTGCCTAGTAACAAACTCATTTTTTTAAAAAGGTGAATTCTATTGAAGTAAAGGAGGCATCAACTTCTGCAAGGAAATTCTCTTTTGTGACCAAATCCCCTGCATTTAAAACCAAATTGATGCCTAATTTGCCTCTGTTATGTTTTACCTGACTTTATTGCGGGGGTGGAGGAGTGAATATTTATCTCAATAATACAATACGAAGTCAAACCTCATTCTACATAGGGTTAATTCAACTCTGATTTCAGGTAGGATCTTAATGAGGGTGGTATGACTGTTTTTAGAATCTCTTTTGTTTCAAGCTTTGGGGCTTGTAACATTAGCTGAGCTTGCTTGAAAAGAACTAAGCTGACCTTGATGGTAAAACTCATGATTAAAAGATAGTAACAAATTGCCCACCCTCATTCTCTGTGAACAAAACTTCCCCAACATAAATAATTAAGAGATTCCATTTCACAAGATACCCCATCCTCAAAGCACACCCTGATGTCCACAGTCAAGAACAAATGTCCTGAAAGTACAAAATTCTTCTACAAAATTAAGGCAGGGAGGGGCTGGCTGGTTCGCTCAGCTGGTACAGCACAGCCTTGTAACACCAAGGTCAAGGGATCAGATACCCATGCTGGCCAATCACCAACCAACCCACCAATCAACCAAACAGAAAAAACAAAATCGAGGGGCTGGCTGGTCAGCTCAGTTGGTTAGAGTGTGGTGCTGATTATACCAAGGTCCAGGGTTCAATCCCCGTATAGGCCAGCTGCCAAATAATAATAATAACATTAAATTAATTAATTAGTTAATTAAATTAAATAAAATGAAGGCGGGTAAACTCCTGCCAGAAGTCCTATTCATTAATCACCAGTTTATACAGAAATCCCAGGTCATCCAGGAAAGGGCCTAGGCTGGGCTGTTGCTCTCACACTTTTGAGCTACACATGTTTTCTGTCTGGAGAAATGCACAAGGCTACTGACTTTCATTAAATAACACAGTTAAAAGAACTAAAAGACACACCCAGTTCTCCTTGATTAGATATGCCTAGTGAACTTTCTATAGAATTATCAATAAACTAAAGAACGTACTGCATTTACGCTGACTCTTCTTACTTGATGTTTTCTAAATATCCAGAAAGACACAAACGTTCAGAAAATTTTTAATTGATGAATAATAATTGCATATATTTATAGGGTACATTGTGATGTTGCTGCATTTACACTGACTCTTCTTACTTGATGTTTTCTAAATATCCAGAAAGACACAAACATTCAGAAAATTTTTAATTGATGAATAATAATTGCATATATTTATAGGGTACATTGTGATGTTTTTAACCAAGCCAGAGAGATCTAATTGAGTTTGATTGCTCATTGCACCAAGAGCTAATCAGAGACAAAAATAGTGTCCAGAAGAAGGATTTTACTTATGGCCAAGAGAACAGGTGAGCAGAGTAGTAACGTCAGCCTACCCCTCCAACTGACTAAAGTTAAGTGTTTTAAACGAGAAAAAAAGAATACAGGTTCATGCAAGGAGGTAGAGAAGTGGGGGGATCACGGGGTTTGCAGGTGGCTGTAGTTAGAGGTCAGGATTTCATGATGAACAGGGTTCTGGGCTTCATGGGGTCTGTGGCTGGTGGTCTGGTGAGCCTCAAGTCCATGATGTTATTTTGGAGCCGGAGTCATTATTTTGTGGGAGAAAACTCAAAGACAGTGACCTTAGCCAAGCATCACTGGAAATTTAAAATAAATAACTCAGACTCTTGACTAATGTGTATGCCTAACACAATCTTCTCTAAGCAAGAGTATAGGCTAGTGATCAGCTTGGCCTTTCTTTGGAATGCCTTTGTTCAAAAAGGTTGATTAGGATCCAAGCCTGGAGGGGAAAAAAATGTTGATTAGAAAGGCAGGAGAACAGGAGGGAGACTCAGCTCTGATTCATAACCTTTCAGCATATAGAAGCTATGTAAATGGGTACAGGGAGGAAAGAGAAAACTTTTAAAAGAAATTCCTACTGGGGCCTCAGTTTCATTTTGATAGATAGATAGATTAGAATTATAAAATCAAGCTAATTAACATATTCATCAGCTAACCTACTGCTGTGGTTTAAATGAACCCCAAGCTATGTTGGAACTTGACCCCTAACATGTTGGTGGAAGGTGGGGCAATTAAGAGTTGATTGGATTGTTGAGGACTGTGCCCTTCTAAGTGGATTAATCCACTCATGCAGTAATTGGTTCATGGTTTAGTGAGTTGATCTGATCGTGGCTCTCATGGCTTTATAAGGAGACTAGGTGAGAAGATTAGCTCAGTTGCTCATGCAGTTCTCTTCTCACAGGGGATGTGAAGCTGTCTTAGGTTTGCTGGAACCCTCAAGAGTGCCTGGTCATGTCACTGTCTCACTTTTGCCAGCTTGGAGAAGGCCACATGGATGATGATGACCATGGGCAGGAGAAACTTGAGATCACTGACTGGGATCTCCAGAATGGCTTCAACCCTGATTGGCAGCACCCCTGGCAGACCAAGGAAGAGGCCACCTATGGGGTTTGGGCAGTGGGTGACTCTGATGCTGAAAGGCCCAGCTTTCAGGGCAAATGGGCCCAGGACTGCTCTGCGCCAGTCACCTTCATCAGCGTGGGGCTCCACAAAGGCACAGCAGAGGAGATGGACTGGGAAGATTCAGATGACAAAGAGACACCTGCTCTTAAGCAGGATGACCTTCCCTTCCTATGGATTTTGGACCAAAGAAATTCAGAACAAGTGGCAATTTTCAGCCTGGTCAGAAAGTGTTTGCAGGAGGAACCATGTCTTTCCCGGACTTTGGCAGCTGGGAAAGAAACACAAAAGGAATTGGACAGAGGCTTCTTCAGAAGATGGGCTATGTCCCTGGAAGGGGCCTTGAGAAGAACACACGAGGTATCCTGAACCCAATCAAAGCCATACAGAGAAAGGGAAAAGGAGCTGAGGGGGTTTATGGCTCTGGGAGTATCACTCAGTCCCTTCAAGACTTACCTGTGATTGACTCAGAAGAAGCCCAAATGCTTTTCCAGGACAGTGGAAGCCTTGAAGGCCCTGGGCAGGGTTAGCATGAAGCTCACCCCTCCCCAGAAGGAGCTGTCTCAGGTCAAGGTCATAGACATGACTGATGGATCTTGGATGTGACTGGCACCATTGTGCACACAATAAGCTCGAAATAGCCGACGGCCTTGTCTTCCACTCCAGCACCAAACCCCTCCCCACTTCCCTTCACAAGAAGCCTCATGACTTAAAAGGAAACCCTTTTGCTTCTGCAAGGGTGCAATTCTCCATCCTGGTTGCCTAGCTTCCACATTAGCATAATGCCCCTCCTTGATTATATCAGCCAGCCCTTGGCACCCTATATAAGCTCTACCACCCCTACACATAGTGCTGTCTTCCATTTTGAGGACAGCCCCGGGCTGCCCTCCACTTTGAGCACAGCCTGGCAGATTCTTTTCCTTTAATAAAGCTCAAACAGTACCCGGCATCTTGGCTCACTCTCTTTCAGTGACAGGCTGGGAGTAAAAGGTCTACTACAGCTACCGCCAGATCAGCCACCGACACAGCATCCCCAACTATGGGCTCCCTCGGCAGTGCCAACAGCCACCACAGCCCAACAAAGAGGCCAAGGGCATGGGTTTCACACTGCCCAAGCTGGAGCACAACCTGCAGCTGCTCATTGACTGCACAGAGCAGGAGATCATCCAGAAACACTGGCAGCTGCAGTACAAGTGGGACACTGTGATCAACCTCTTCCATGAGCTGGAGAAGAGTCCAAGGTCTTGTTCCATGAGGACCGGGTCATCTCCAACCTCATCAAGGTCCTGGAGATGATGGAGCAGTGCGAGCGGTGGGTGCAGCCCAACTGCAGCAGCCCCCTCACCCCGGACAAGTGCTCCCAAGTCTTACAAACCCTCCAGGATGAGTCCTGCGAGGATCATAGGACGTTGCACCACATGGACCTCACCGTGGCCATCAGCTATCTGCTTATGAAGGAGTACTTAAAGGAGTGGGATCCCCTCTGAGACCACACTTATGGCACCGAGACCATCTCCAAATGGAAAAGCTTCCTGGAGAATGACCAGCTCTTGTGCCTTGGTGGGCAGAACCCCTCGAAAGGCCCCTTTCACAGGTTGATATGGGAAGTCTGGATGCCTTTGGTTCGAAATAGTGTCACCCAGTGGCAGCCAAGAAACTGCAAGCTGATGGCGGACTTTCTGGAGAGCTGGGTGAACCTTATTCCAGTGTGGATTTTAGAGAACATACTGGACCAACTCATCTTCCCCAAACTGCAGAAGGAGGTGGAAAAGTGGGACCCACTGATGGACACTGTTCCTGTTCACTCTTGTTCCACCCATGGCTGTCCCTCATGCAACATGGCTGGAGCCACTCTGTACCCTCCTCCTCAGCAAGCTGTCCAGTGCCCTGCACAAGTGGCACCCTAGGGACTCCTCTGCCAAGCTCATCCTCCAGCCCTGGAAAGATGTCTTCACCACTGGTCCCTGGGAAGCATTCATGGTCAACAACATAGTGCCCAAACTGGGGATGTGTCTTGGTGGGTTAATTATTAACCCCCACCAGCAGCACATGGATGCTTTCTATTGGGTGATGGACTGGAAAGGGATGATCTCCATCTCCAGCCTGCTGGAGCTTCTGGATAAGCAGAAGCTTCTTCCCCAAGTGGCTTCAGGTGCTTCATTCCTGGCTCAGTAACAGCTCCAGTTATGAGGAGGTCACCAAGTGGTACTTGGGCTGGAAATCCATGTTTCAGACCAAGTGCTGGCATATCCATCCATTGAGAACAAATTGAATGAAGCACTTGATATCATGAACAAGGTGGTGTCCTCCAATATTGGTGTCTCCATGTAGCCAGGAGCGAGGGACAACGTTGCCTATCTTACCCACACAGAGCAGAGAAAGGACGTCCAGTACCAGGCCAGGCAGGAGAGATGGGAGGCTGAGAACATGGTGCAGAAGGGCATCTGCATAGCTGCCAGCTCCATGCCCATGAACTTTAAGGACCTCATCGAGACCAAAGCTGAGGAGAACAACCTTGTCTTCATTCCCATCATTGGGAAGTGACAGGGAAAGAAGCAGCTCTACACTTTTGGCTGCATCATGATCTACATCCACTGGGGAGTGGTGTTCATCTGGGGCAAGAAGACCTGGGTGCCCACCTCCCTGCAGAGCCTAATCAACATGGCCAAATACAGAGTGGCAGGTCTGGAGCAGCCCATGTTGCAGGGAAATATAAGCATTTTTACATTGTTGAGCCTTTCCATTTTCCACTTGAGAAACTGTTTTAGAAACATTATGCTCCACTGGAAACTTGAGCCCCTGCGATTTACCCTGCTTGCCTCTTGGGCCCACCTTCTGTGAGATAACATTGGCCTCCCACCCCTCTCCCAGGGGCCAGAGGCAAATTAGGCTCCTAAAGTGACCAGCAGACTATGTCCCACAATCAGCCAATCCAAATTAGCTGGACAGCATCCCTCATTTACATAAGAGGACCTGAATGGGAACTTAGGAGGGAGAAGGGTGGGAATTTATGCTATATAAAGGGGTCATTTCCTTTGTTCTGGGAGACACTGGCTTGGGAGCTTCTGCCACCACCACCACCGCCCCCGTGACCCAGTGCTCTCCTTGTTTGCAAGCAAAAAGGTGCTGTAACACTGAATAAAGAGCTGCAAGACTAAATAAAGAGCTAAAAACTACAATATTGACGCTGGTCTTGGATTCCTCTCTGAGTTCACCCTACAACATTTGGGAGCTGGTCCAGAATCTATTTGCTCAGGGGAACCAAGACCCACAGCTTCAGATGGCAGGCAGTGCACTGGGAAGTTGTACCTTGGCTTGGGGCTGAACTTGCTGCAGATGCTGGGGAAACTGACGGGAAGTTGTACCTCGGCAACAGGCTACTTTGGCCCCCCTGCCCAGGAGCTTCAATTGGCCTCAATTAGCATCAGAATCTTTGTTCAGTAGTTCATTTCAGTAAACCTCCAGAGGTAAGATTTGGTTTGAGATCTCAATAACTTGTTTTGCATTTGGGGATCAGAGCTCTGGTTTAGGGACTTGTGGAAGGCTGGACGCAGCACTACTTCCCAAGTCCAGGACTCCCACAAGACATCATAGGGTCCTTTTGGTTTGGAATTATTTGGAAATTTGTTGTGGCCACTCATCTTTGTCTCTTGTGTTATGTGTAATTTGTTGACTTGTCTCTGTCTTTTGTGTCTTATGTCATAAATTGTAGTTCTACTGTAAAAGGAACATGATAAGTACATGCCATCTGTGTTGATAACTTTTATTGCACTGCTTGTCCTAGGACTGGCTATAGGACTGGTATCTGCCACTCCCAGAGATTGCAATAACATAGAAAAGTTTCTCCTGGCACTCTTTTACCTAGTGTCAGTAGGGTGCTTTCTAGCAATCTCATTGAGTCATTGTGCTTTTTAGATTGGTTGCGGCCCTGACAGGCCCTAAGTGTAAGGATATTTTGTGCATAAATTTGTATAGAAATATGGGGAAAAAGATCTCCTGGCCTGTTTGAGGGGCCACCCCTCTATAGGCAATAATAACTCACTCTGGTTATTTCCCAAAAAAGGTAAAAGCTATTGGTTTTGAGGCTTCAGCATACCCCTATGACCTTAGAAAATATTGTGAATTAAAGTGGCCTGCCTTTGGGGTTGGTTGGCCCTCATATGGAACTATAGATATTGCTACCATCTACCAAGTCTGAGATATTTGCCTCGGTAGCCCTGGGCACCGCTGGCCACCCCGACCAAGTCTTATATATTACTGTTTGGGTTGAAATTATAGAGGAACTACCTCCCTGGTTAAAACAATACCTGCAACCCAGGCATGGGAAAACTCCCCCCCTCCATGTACTTGGACCAATGGAACAGAAATATCCCTGGAGAAAGGGCAGGCCACAGGATTAAAACAAAAGGGGAGATTCTTGTAACTAAACCACTTCCCTCAGCAGGTTCCTCTCAAGAAGCCGGCCAAGGACCTCTGCCCACGGTCTTACAGGACACCTCTGAGGACTTCGTTGATCTTTCTCCCCCTGTCCCTGTCTCCCCCAGTGCCCCTCCTCCTTACCCTACTTCTCCTGATTCTACTGTGCCTTCAAGCCCCCCCCCCACACACACACACACGAGTAGTGGCGCCACCTACTAGACCCGGGGAGAACCTGAGTCTGTGCCTCCTCCTTCTAATGCTTCCCCCGCACCCTTGCTCCCACTCTGACAGGCTCGCCTTCCCCCCAGAACTCAAGACCAAACCCCTTTCATGGCCTATGTTCCTTTCTCTACCAGTGATATGTATAATTGGAAGAACCAAAATCCTTCTTTTTCTGAGAAACCTCAGGTTCTCATTTGTCTTTTGGAGACTGTGTTCTTTACTCATCAGCCCACCTGGAATGACTTTCAGCAACTCCTGTAAACCCTCTTCACTTCTTTTTTTTTTTTTTGTCTTTTTTCGTGACCGGCAACGGATCACAACCCTCAGTGTCGCGCCCGTACCGGACCGGGACCGGCTACGGGATCACAACCCTCGGTGTTGCTCCCGCACCTCACTCAGCCAGTGAGCAGTCGTATAACTTCGTATAATGTATGCTATACGAAGTTATGCCGCTTTCAGCAACTCCTGTAAACCCTCTTCACTTCTTTTTTTTTTTTTTGTCTTTTTTCGTGACCGGCAACGGATCACAACCCTCAGTGTCGCGCCCGTACCGGACCGGGACCGGCTACGGGATCACAACCCTCGGTGTTGCTCCCGCACCTCACTCAGCCAGTGAGCAGCCGGTCTGTATGTGGGATCCGAACCCTCGGCAGGAGCGCCGCCGCGCTTCCCTAGCGGCGCACTGTAGCAGTGCGCCACCGGGCCGGCCACTTCTGAGGAGCATGAACACATTCATCATGTGTCATTAAAGGCTATTCTCAGCAGAGATGGACAACCTTCTGATAATCCTAGCCACCTTGAGTGCATATCTCCCCTTAGCTGGCCTAGTTGGGACCCCAACGCCAATCAAGGTAAGGAGGCTCTTCACCACTATCACCAGACTCTCCTTAGGGGACTCCGTGCAGCCACCCAGAGGCCCACAAACCTTTTGAAAGTAAGTGAAACAATACAGGGACCAAGCAAGTCCCCAGCCACTTTTCTGGAGCATCTCATGGAAGCTTATAGGGTCTACACTCCTGTGGACCCTGAGGCCCCAGAAAACAGGCGTGCAATAAATATTGCCTTTGTTACCCAGTTAGCCCCAGATATTAGGAAGAAACTTTAGAGACAAGAAGGGCTTGAAGTGAAACTGTTGTCTGAGCTGGTCTAAATAGCCCAGAGGGTCTATAATGCCAGGGATAGCCCAGAGGAGAAACAAACAAAAAGAATGGCTAAGATAATGGTGACCACACTCACCGAGTCTCAAAGAGTTACAGCAGAGGGACCCAAGGGTATGAGACCACAGCCAGGACAGAAGGGAAACTTCATTGGAAAGTCCAGGCTCCCCCTAGAGAGAGATCAATGGGCCTTCTGTAAGGAAAAAGGTCATTGGAAGGACAAATGTCCCCTACTGAAGAAGAGCACCCATGTCCTGCAGCTAGACAACTCTGAGGATTGACAGGGCCAGGGCTCCATACTTATCAGCCCCCAGGAACCCAAGGTAACTTTACAAGTAGGGGGCAAACCGGTGGACTTCCTCACAGACAAAGGGGCCACTTATTCTGTTTTAACTAAAATGGATGGATATTTACCTACTGGAAAGACCTTGGTACAAGGGGCTACAGCAAAGCTTCAATCCTTGGTCCAACCCTTGGACCAATGCAAGAATTACCAACCTGGGACAAGGGACTATTACTCACTCCTTCCTTGTCATGCCGGATTGCCCATACCCATTGCTGGGGAGAGACTTATTGCACAAGCTGCTGGCCACTATAACATTAAGGAGGATGTGACGGAACTGACATTTAATTCCGCACCTCCTGCTCAGATAATGATAACATGCCCAATCAGTGAAGAATATATAATAGCTATGGAGGCTTCCCGCATTGACTCTAGTTCCACCTTGGAGGAGCTAAAATGGGAGATCCCGAGAGTGTGGGCAGAAATGAACCCCCAGGCCTGGCCATCCACCGACCTCCCATTGTGGTTCAGCTTACTAGCCAGGCTACTCCTATTTGAGTAAAGCCATATCCAATTCCCTTGGAAGCCAGGCACGGGATAGCCATCCACATCCAAAGGCTGAGAGAATCTAAAGTTCTAACTCCATGTAAGTCAGCGTGGAATGAATACTCCTCTTATTCCAGTACAAAAACCAGGTACTTCAACTTCCAACCTGTCCAATATCTACGAGAAGTGAACAAATGTGTGCAGACTCTCCATCAAACTGTCCCTGATCCCTACACCCTCCTCAGCCTGCTGGCAGCATCCCACAAGATCTACGCTGTGCTAGATCATAAAGATGCCTTCTTCAGCCTCCCGCTGGCCAAGGTAAGCCAGCCTTTATTTGCTTTCGAATGGACAGACCCGGAGAGGGGATATTCAGGACAACTGACATGGACCCGGTTGCCTCGAGGGTTTAAAAATTCCCCAACTTTTTTTGACGAAGCATTGAGCCAAGACCTCATGCTATACTGAAAACAACATCCTGAGGTCACTCTACTATGGTATGTAGATGACCTTTTGCTGGCCACTAAAGACGATGAGACCTGCAAGGAGGCCGCAAGAGGCTTATTATGGGAATTACAAACCCTGGGATATTGAGTCCCAGCTAAAAAGGCCCAATTATGTACCCCAAAAGTCACTTACCTGGGGTATGGACTGCAAGGGGGAAAGAGAACCTTGTCCTACAGAAGAATAAAAACAATTCTAACAATCCCAACCCCAAAGACTAAAAAGGAGGTCTGTGAATTCTTGGGTACAGTAGGCTACTGCCGCCTCTGGATACCTGGATTTCCTGAAATAGCTAAGCCCTTATACTCTAGCACTGGGGAAAAACACGCCTCCCTGTCGTGGACAGAGATTGAACAAAAGGCCTTCAGTGATTTGAAAAATGTGCTTACCACAGCTCCTGCCTTGGCACCACCAAACGTAAATAAGCCCTTCACCATGTTTGTCACTGAGAAACAAGGCATAGCCAAGGGAGTACTCACCCAGGCACTGGGTCCATGGAAAAGGCCTGTGGCCTACCTCTCTAGGAAACTGGATAATGTAGCTGCTGGATGGCCAGCGTGTCTCCGGGCTATAGCTGCTACTGTATTGGTGAAGGAAGCAGACAAACTAACATTAGGGAAGAATATGAGCCTGGTAGTGCCTCACTCTGTGCAAGTTCTCCTGAGAAGTACGCCCGAACATTGGCTCATAAATGCCTGCATCACTCAATATCAGGCTTTCCTTTTAGACCAGCCCTGAATAAAGTTTCTTAAGACCACAGCTCTGAATCCAGCAACTCTCCTTCCAGACGATGACCCAGAAGAGCCTCTTCATGACTGCCTCGAGACTATACAGACCCTCCAAGGACTCCGACTGATCTGACTGACGTGCCTTGGCCAGACCCTGATGAGGTGATGTTTACAGATGGGAGCAGCTTCATCTCCAACGGAATCAGGGTATGCTGGGGCATCTGTACTCACACTAGAACGAGTCATCTGGGCACAGGCTTTGAGCCAAGGGACATCTGCTCAAAAGGCTGAACTCATAGCCTAACACAAGCTTTGGTACGTGGAAAAGGCAAGACTGTCAACATCTATACTGACAGTGGGTATGCATTTGCTACAGCCCATGTCCACGGGGCCCTCCACAGGCAGAGAGGATTAATAAACTGAGGTTCCGGGAAATGCTGTGGCAGACCCAGCAGCGAAGGAGGCTTCGCTAAAACCAGTGGGGCCATCAAAGTCCTTAAAAGTCATGCCGGCACCCCAACCGCCACCAGTCCCACATTACACTGAAGAAGAAATTATATGTGCAAGAGCCTTGGACACAAAGGACAATGATACCAGTTGGAAAATTTTGCCAGATCACCAAATATATTTACCTAAGGCATTAGGAAGGTTATTAATAAAGCAACTACACCAAGGGACACACCTCGGGTCTACTAAATTGACAGAACTGTTACAGAAAAACTATTATATCCACAATCTAGACAAAGTAACCAAAGACTTTATACAATGCTGTGAAATTTGCTCACAAGTAAATCCAGGACCAAAGTCTGGGGTGCCTACAAGAACCAGAGCACGAGGGTCAAATCCCAGAGAACACTGGGAAGTTGACTTTACAGAGGTAAAACTGAGACAATATGGGTATAAATATCTTTTGGTATTTATAGGCACCTTTTCTGGGTGGGTGGAGGCTTTTCCTACAAAGACTGAGACTGCTCAGACAACACTTAAGAAATTATTACAGGAGATTATTCCCCGATTCGGCTTGTCTACAGCTTTGGGGTCTGACAATGGCCTGGCTTTCATAGCCCAGATCTCTCAATTATTGGCAAAAGCCTTACAAATAAAATGGAACTTACATTGTGCTTATGGACCACAAAGTTCAGATCAGGTAGAAAGAATGAACCAGACTCTAAAGGAAATCTTAACCAAATTAAAATTAGAGACTGGCAAAAATTGGGTAAGCCTCCTTCCCTTTGCCCTCCTCAGAACAAGATGTACTCCCTATGTCAAGGGAATTACCCCTTCTGAAATAATGTTTGGAAGGCCACCTCCATTGCTACCCCGCCTTCCAGATGATAAACTTGCTGAATTCACTAACCGAAACCTCCTTCAATCTCTTCAAGCTCTCCAACAGGTGCTGCATCAGATTCACCCACTGATCATGGGGCCCAACCAACAGTCAAGGACCTCACCCCACATTCATACCAGCTGGGTGACCTCGTCTGGGTTAAACAACATCACACCAGCACCAGGTGCAGCGGGCCTTACACTGCTTTCCTCACCACTCCCACGGCAGTGAAGGTTGCTGGAAAATGCCAATGGATCCACCATACCCAGCTGAAATGGACACCTCAGCCCAGGAACTCCTGCTCAGACCACTCCACGGAAAAATGGATGGTCCAGCATTCCCAAGGAGACCCGCTGAAGATAGGACTCAGTCGTTCATCCCCCTGATTGTTTTGATTGTTTTATGTTACATAACATCTGTGTCAGGGAACCCCCACAAACACAAAAACTATACATGGGAGCTAAGGAACACAATTACAGGGGATCCCATTAGGACCATCCACACATCAGGGGCCCCCACTTTCCTAGTAGATTTATGTGAGCTAATGGGAAAAACAAACTTAAAGGTTAGGGAGAAAAGACAAACTCTGGCGGGATTTGGGACCCGATATGGCTACTATTCCTGGTGGGGGTGTGGCGGAGTTAATGAAAAAGGCCTCCAACAAACCCAATTTTATGCCTGACCCACAACAAGCAGCCCTTCCTGTCAGGGACAAGGGAGCTACCACTGTGCTGCCTGGGGCTGCAAAACTGAGCCCTCCTGGGCTCATACAGATACCTACATATCACTTAATGGACAGCCCCCACCTGCAGACTGTAGTCAGCCGGGAACATGTAACCCTATGAACCTTACTATTAAAATGTGGAATCCCTTCATGGTTGATAGCTGGAAAGCTGGAAGAATATGGGGAATAAGACTATATACTGGAGTGAGCCCCGGGGGAGAATTCACTATTCAGTTAAAAGGAGAAGATAAATTAAACATACCCATAGGTCCTAACCAAGCCTCCTACCCCCTTCTCCATGTTCCCTGTACCCTAACCCGTCCCCCCCGAGCTCCTATACCCTGGTCCAATTATGCTTTCACCAGTCCCCTCCTGGGGACTTTAGATTCAGTTTTTATGTTTGTCAACTAATCAAACCCAAATGTAACAACCCACTGTTGGTTATGCTTAAATCCAGAGCCACCATATTATGTTGGTCTGGGGATAAACAACCCTTTAGGCACTACTAACCAGACTGTTAGGTCTCTGAACCTGTCTGAAATCACAAAAGACAGACTCTGTCCATGGGGACGAAAGCCCAGACTTATGCTTGGTGGCGTACAAAACCAAGGACTTTGTATAAAATCTAATGACTATGACCCTAAAATGTCCCCCTATAGAACTGCATGTACATATGCAGTGACCATTAGTAGTACAACCCCTGGCAGGCTTCTAACTACCTCGTTGCCCCCTCTCATGCTTGGTTTGCTTGTTTGACAGGGTTGACTCCGTGTATACCTATTCAATATTTCCTTATACCTAATAGGACTGAATTTTGTGTACTTGTTTATTTTGTCCCCAAATTTATTACTATGAAGGAGCAGCGGGAAGGCAGCACCTCCTGGAGAAATGAGCAGTTCCTGTCTTAATCCTTCTGTTTACAGGTCTTGGCTTTGCAGGCTCTGCAGCTATTAGTGCCACAGCGCTTATAATGAGCAAAAAAAATTTTAAAGCCCTAAGTCAACAAATTGATCGAGACCTACGGGAATTAGAAAAATCCATTAGCTGATTAGAAACTTCCTTAGATTCACTAGCAGAGGTGGTGCTACAAAATAGGAGGGGCCTTGATCTTTTATTCCTAAAACAAGGTGGACTATGTATAGCTTTAGGAAAAAACTGTTGCTTTTATGCAAATCATTCGGGAATAATAAAAGATAGCCTCTCCCTAGTTAGGAAAAGGTTAAAAGAAATGGAGGAAATAAGGAACAAAAAAACAAAATTGGTATGAAGATTTATTCTCTTGGTCTCCCTGGTTAACAACTCTCCTCACTGCTTTAACAGGTCCCCTACTCGTAATCCTATTACTCTTTACTATAGGCCCTTGTATACTCACTGGCCTCACAAGATACATTAGGGAAAGAGTACAATCAATAAAGCGTATGGTATTAAGAACCCATTATGCCAGATTAAATGTTGATGATGAGTCTAGGATTTGACTCATGTACATAAAACCAGTGGGGAACGTTGCAGGGAACCCTAAGCATTTTTAAATTGTTTAGCCTTTCCCTTTGAAACTGCTTTAGAAACTTTATGCTCCACTGGAAACTTGAGCCCCTGCGATTTACCCTGCTTGCCTCTTGGGTCCACCTTCTGTGAGATAACGGCAGCCTCACACCCCTCCCCCAGGGGTCAGAGGCAAATTAGGCTCCTAAAGTGACCAGCACACTTTGTCCCACAATCAGCCATTCCAAATTAGCTGGACAGCATCCCTCATTTACATAAGAGGACTTGAATGAGAACTTAGGAGGGAGAAAGGTGGGAATTTAGGCTATATAAAGGGGTCGTTTCCTTTGTTCTGGGAGACACTGGCTTGGGAGCTTCTGCCCCCCAGTGCTGTCCTTGCTTGCAAGCAAAAAGGTGCTGTAACACTGAACAAAGAGCTGCAACACTAAATAAAGAGCTAAAAACTACAAAACCGATGCTGGTCTTGGATTCCTCTCTGCGTTCGCCCTACAACACCCAGAGACTTGAATGTGAGAGGGACGTGTTAGGAGTGAATGGTGTTTTAAATCCTCTTTAAAAGGGTGACTTCTCTATGCAGGAGGTATTCCATGTCAGGCCAGGTTACCAGGGAAGGACAGAAAACACAATGACTCGACTCTAGAAGTGCGTCAGTCTTTATACCAAGTCCTTACATAGCATGTCGTCCTGGAAACAGTACAGCAGGTCTCTGAAATTTGGCCACTGCAAAGAAAGCAGTTATCTGCAGTCCCCCTGTTGTGACTTTCCCTTTGCTCTCTGGTGGCAGCTTCTACCTCAGCCAACACCAAACACATGACAGCAAGTTCAAGTCAGTTGCTGAAGGCCCCTCTGTCTTGTTCTTGATGATTTCAAGGTCTTCTCAGTCCTGATTATCAGGTTCTTCATGAGATGCCCACATATTTGTGGCAAGTAGTTTCAGCTTTTGTATGGAGAACCAGTGGACAGAGGCGTCATTCAATATGTCCATGAATTGTGAAGTCTGAGGAAACTCAAGCTCCTACACTCCTTTTAAGATCTGAGCAAAAAAAATCAAATGTAAAAAGTTGATAGTCACAGTAACTACCACAGTGGCTTTCAAACTTTGCTGTATATTAGAATCACCTGTAGGGATGCTTAAAATTCCTGCTGTTCAGGCATTCCAGATATAAACTGAATTAAAATCTTTGGGAATAGGACCCAGGCAGAAGTGTTATTTTTTCATATACATTCATAATACAGTAATATAATTCAAAGTGCAATGCAAAATCAATTTGTATTGTTTTCCAACACAAAACTAGCTGGTGCTTCCAGATTTTTGTTATGCACCTCTTTGTCTATAAATGATAA